GCGCCTCATAGATACAGAATTACAGGACAAAAGAGCAAAAGGATTGTGTTACTGATGTGATGAGAAATACGCCCCAAGACACCATTGTAAGGAGCGTGTCCTTCAAGTTCTTTTAGTTCAGCGGATGATACAGAGAGTGAACAATCAGAAGAGGAAACAGTGGAGGAGGAGCATCTATATTTGGATGTGATAGAGGTGTCCCTCAATTCGGTGATGAGATTTATCCCGAATGACATCATGAAGATGAGGGGATGGATCGGGAAACAACCAATTGTGATATTGGTGGATAGCGAGACCAAATATAACTTTATCTCAAATCAGGCTGTAGAAAAGCTAGGATTGAAGCTTGTAACTAAAGTGAGCTTTGGCGTCATGATGGAGACGGTAATGTGGAGAAAAGTCGAGGAATTTGCAAGAGATTGGTTAAGACACTACATGACTTACAGGTGGTGGAAAGCTTCCTTTAGATTTGGGCAACATAGATGTGATTTTGGGGATGAAGTGGTTGCGAACATTGGGAATGATGAAGGTTGATTAGAAGACCTTGACGATGGAGTTCCAAATGAAGGGTAGGAAGGTGGTGCTGAAAGGAGATGCTAGCATATGCAAAACCATCGTGTCGCCCAAAACCATGGTCAAGTCAATTGGGGGAGCAGGACTGAGTTACTTGGTGGAGTTGCAGAGATTGAGACGGTTCGAGATTCAAAGTTGGCAGAGTTTTCGAAGAGTCAAACAACTCCTAGAACAGTTTACTGATGTTTTCCAACAGCCAAGCGGGTTACCACCTTAGAGGGAGCACGAGCACGCTATTATATTGAAGGAGGGTGTTTCTCCCATCAGCGTAAGATCATACAAGTACCCCCAGATTCAGAAAGATAAGATAAAGAAGCTTATCTGGGAGATACTCGAGGCTCGATTATCGGGCCTATTATGAGTCATCTTTTCCCTCTCGTCCTGTTAGTGAAGGAAAAAAAGATAGTTGGAGATTCTGCGTGGACTGCCGAACTTTGAACAAGAAAATAGCGTTGGACAAGCTTTCTATTCATGTGATTGATGAGTTGCTAGATGAGTTTTATGGGGCAGTCATTTTCTCAAAAATTGATCTTAAGTCAGGGTATCACTAAATCAGGATGAAGCCAGTGGATGTGCATAAGACAATATTCATGACACATGAAGGACATTATGAGTTCTCAGTGATGTTGTTTGGTCTCATCAATGCCCTGACGACATTTCAATTCCTCATGGATAGGGTTTTTCAACATTTTCTCCTGAAATTTATCCTAGTTTACTTTGATGATATCCTAATCTAAAGTCGTACAAAGCCATAACATGTGGGGCACCTGAGAACAGTCCTGAAGACGTTGATGGAGCACCAGTTATATGTTAACTTGAAGAAATATTCTTTTGCTCGGTTACAGGTAGAGTACCTAGGACATGTGGTGACCAGGACGGGTACAGTGGATCATTCTGAGTTTAAGGCTATGGTTGATTGGCCCTTACCAAGGAATTTGAAGGAATTGAGAGGATTCTTGGGACTCACAGGCTACTGCCGAAAGTTTGTGAGAGGATATGGCAGGATAGTCTGGCTATTGACGGAGCAATTAAAAAAAGACAATTTCAATTAGGGGGAAGCAACCAAACAGTCATTTGAACATCTAAAGAGGGTCATGACTAGCATACGGATATTAGCGCTTCCAGATTTCAGTAAATCATTTGTGGTGGAGACGGATGCGTCAGGATATGGATTGGGAGCAGTGCTCATGTAGGATCAGCGATCGATTGTCTATTTCAGTCAGGTTCTTACAGCCTAAGCGAGGCTAAAGTCAGTATATGAATGGGAATTGATGGCAATTGTCTTAGCATTCAGTAGGGGCGACCCTACCTGTTGAGACGACATTTCTTGGTCGGGACGGATCAGAGGATTTTAAAGTATCTTCTAGAGCAGTGCATGGTGACTAGGGAGCATTAAAGATGGTTATCCAAGCTACTGCGGTATGGTTTCAAGATTCAGTATCGGGCATGATTGGAGAATAAGGCAGTTGGAACTATCAAGAAAGGTGGAGGAACCTCAATTGACGGGCCTATCGGTACTCTTGGTTCTAAATTGGGAGGTCTTGAGACAGCAGAGCGAAAGGGATGAGGAGCTAAGTAGAATTAAAACTTAATTACTACAAGATCCGAACAGTCATCTAGGATATGCAATGAGTGGACAACAATTACTCCACTAGGGGCAATTCGAGCTACCCAATTCGTCGGAGCATATTTCTGAATTATTAAAAGTTTCATGGCAGTGCAATCGGGTTACATTCAGAGGTGCAAAGACCTACAATCGTCTAGTGACAGAGCCTTAGTAGTTAGTGATGCGCAAAAACCGGGGAGAAATGGTGGCAAAATGTGATATGTGACAGCGGCACAAGTACTTCAACACATCATTAGGGGGTTACTACAACCATTAGCATTGTTGGAGAATGTTTGAGAGGAAGTGACGATGGATTTTATAGAGGAGTCACCCCGGTCAGAAGGGTTCGCAGTGATTATGGTGTTCGTGGATCACTTAAGTATGCACATTTCATTCCATTGCGACATCCCTACATTGCGGCCTCAGTCGCCACGGTGTTTATCAGGGAAGTAGTCCATTTGCATGGGGTGTCGAATTCGATTGTATCGGATAGGGACAAGGTGTACCTCAGCCACTTCTGGAAAAAGCTATTTAAGTTGCAAGGGACATACCTTAAAAGGAGCACCGCATATCATCCAAAGACTAATGGGCAAACAAAGGGGTCAATAGGAGTGGAGATATTTCTGTGTTGATTTGTATCTGATACACCGAGTTATGGGCCAAGTGGATTGCATTGATCGAATATTGATATAATACTTCGTCCCACAACACAACACAAACAACACTTTTATGATATTGTATGGGCGAGATCCATCTCACTTGATATATTATGGGCAGAACACTGCACCGGTATCCAACATTAATCAATACTTGGAGGAGAGTGGCAAAATACTAGTAGAGCTTAAGGGGCATCTTCTGGCGGCACAACAAATCATGAAGAAACGGATAGACACAAAAGAGAGGTGCAATTTGGACATGATCTACTTGAAGTTGAGGCCCTATCGACAGAAGATATCGGTCAGGAGAAGAAGCAAAAAACTTTCACCGAGATACTTTAGGCCTTATGGGGTGATGGCACACATCGTTTGAAGATCACACACCCTCATCTACACCACCGCTGACGCTGAAGGATGGCTACGATGTGATTCTGGAGCCATTAGAGATCGAAAGAGTGCGCTGAGTAAGGGAAGCGATAGAGGTATTGATTAAGTGGAAAGGATTGCAAGACTATAAAGCAACATAAGAGCCTAATGAGGTGATCCACAAGCAGTTTTAATCTTTCCACCATAAGAACAAGATTCTTTTTTGGTAGGAGAGTAATGCTACGCTCAGTATGCAGCCAGTCTCTCCTGGACCGGCCGACTGCAATCCCACTGGCCCACAGACGGGCCGACCCTTATCAAGGGAAGAAGGGGAGGGAGCCGTGTGAGGCACAGATGAAGGAAAGGAAGGGGTTTGTTTTAAAATGTTGTAAAAGGATTCTACTAAGGGGGAACCTAGGATTTGTTTTATTTTTTCATGCATGTTTTCTGTGGTTGTTGTTTTGCTATCTTCTTATGGCGTTCCTAGCAATGACTAGGGTGTGAGAGAAACGATCCACCTCTCGAATAGTATATCAGCCTTGTATCTTGATTGTTTCCTTTGATTTTTGTAAGAGCAGCCCTTAGTTGTATTTTTCCACCAATCTATTGTGATTTCGTCTTGGTTTGTTCACTAATTTCGATGTCGAGGCGTACTAGAAAGCCAAGCACACTAAAGAGAAAAAATATATTATTCATGCCAGGAATTCTATGGAATAAATAAATTTAAGGAAATCTAATAGCAAATGCACATCCGTAAGACTATATATTCATAGCTAGACATGACATTCCACACACAAGCAAAGAACCATGCATCTAAACTCTTTCTAACTAGACCAACAAAAGCTGGACAATCACTTGTAGAAAGTTGTGGTAGACAAAATCAAAAGTTCACATCAGGCTCATCAGAAAGGCCTAAAGAAGGTGTGTAAGATGTAAAGTTGAATTTCAAGGGATGGAAGAAAATTCCATGCACAATAAAGGTACAAGCCATTTCATGCATTTGAGTAGGTGGACTCCATGGAATAATATTAATATGAAAACGAAAAACAATTATAAACCACTCTTACTCGACGAATGTCGATTGCAATTCTTGCAATGGCTAAGGATCTGGGCTTGAGATTGACAATAACTGTTTTCTAAGAATGAGTAGAGTGTTTGTTTTGCGTTTAAAATCAGCTCTCAACCAGAAATAATGAAAATCATACATCTAAAGTAACTAAGATCTCTCCCTCTCTATGGCATTCATTTAACAGAATGATACAAGAAAGAATACTTCCTTATTCATGATTTGATATGTGGAAAAAAAAAACTCATGGCATCAAAATGTGATATACTAAAATGTGCGTTATTCAAAATGTTACTGGGCCAGATTTCCAAAATATGCATGCAGCTTAAATCCATCAGAACATCATCTGACTAAACAAAACCCAAAATTTTGATAACTAAATGGAAGGCTCCAGTCACAAAACAAAAAATACCAAACTATTTATCAGAAGAAACTTTAAAAAGTAAATCCTAGAGTTTTACAAAGAGCAGAAACAGAGCATGAGAAATATACACGTCAAGTGTAAATCTAATTAATCAAGAAATTACTCGTCCAACTTGAAAATTCGAAAATGCTACTACTAAGTAACTGATCAGAAAATTATGAAGTAAAATATGCAGAAAGGTTAAAAAGACAGGTAATTGCTCACGTCATTCTTAATAATTGACAAAGAAATATTCAAAATGTGACCGGAATAAAAACCCGAGGAAAAGAAGAGCACAAATAAATGTTCAAGCAGAGAAAGAGGTTTTACCTGTTTTTTCTGCATCTCGATGAACTCAGCCTGCAAAAATTTAGAAAATCATTAATCGTGGTTCTAAACAGCATGGCTCAAAATATAAAGACAGCATATCTTTTTGGATGAATATGAATTTCACGAAATTCATGCGTAGAAACAGCTATTCTGCTTAGCATTTCATTTATTACGAGAATTTTATTCATTAATCAAAGACGGCCCACAGTTCCCAGCACACCATTTGAAACCATCTACGGCATTGGTTTATCATAATTGTTAGTGCCGGATGCTATCATACCCCAACTCTCAAAAACTTAATTATCTTTTGGGCCTCATCTGACAATTCCACTTAGAACCACCTTTAAACTTTAGCCAACTTAAAATTCCTCCACAGCCGTAAGACATACGAACGCAATGCTTCCATACTTCAGAAATACTATTTTAATTGATACCCAAGTGAAAGAATGAAAAAGATTGTAAATTGATAGCAAATACATAATAAATAGGAATTACACATTATTATTATGAAAACTAATTAAAAGGAAAATATATAAAAAGGTTTTCTTCAATATCATTGCAAGTTATTGCTAAGAGAAAAGAATATATTTCCAAATAAAAGTAAGAAGCAGGATTCACGAATAATTTCCAAGTAAAAATTGGTGGAAAGGTGAAGCGAGGGGGACATTGACCTAATGGGTTTCACTTGAGTATATTTTTATAAAATTTCTGTAGAGCATATGCATGAAATTTACAGGTCACGATAAATAAATAAATAATTAAATTACTAAATAATTTGTAACACTTAAATATACGTATGTAGGCACAAACACATACATACATGCATATGGCTGAGGTTTAAATTGGCAGGTGATGTTTCAATGAAATGAGATTTCTCCACGGAGAAGCATGCAATTAAACTTGAAAGGCAAGCTACATAAACCGCCTATTCAAATAATGTAACATTGCTGAAACATTAACTCATCAACACCATTATCTTCACCACACCGTCTATATTCTTTTGCGTTGCATGTTAAGTTAAATCTAGTTTAAAACATTTTTTTTTGCACTTCTAGAAAAGTTTTCTTTGATTTATTTTTTCTTCTCTATTCCCGTCACATTTATATTATCTCATCTTATTATTGTATATAATCCAAACTCCAAAGAACATGCCCCAACCATCTAGGTATATTTTCTAACTCATCATCGTCAATAAATATCATCCCTCCCAGCTATAATTTAATATATCAAATCTTCTTTATGATCATTTGAATATCATCATTTCTCCTGTACTAATTTGTTAATAGCTTCCTTATTACCTGAAATTTTGATGCAAAACATGGGCCAAAACCAAATCAAATGATTCAAATACACTGAATCCAAACCAAATCAGTCCATGAATTTGATTTTTTATAGTTTTATTAGGCATATTTTAATTTAAATTAGGCAGGGCTTATCTTTTGTATATTTTCAAAATTTTAAATCATCTTTGAATCCGAACTAAATGATAGGACTAGTTTTGAATTTAATTTGTAAATATTTTTTCTATAAACAAGGTTAAATGACATTAATTTCATTATGATGAATTGAGATTAAGCATTTTCGAATTCCCCTTAATCCACCCTCCCCCATCTCCTCTCTCCAACCCATTGCCCTTCAATGTAAATGAAAGGGGGCTACCCGTGACAATATAAATATGATAAATGACAGGATATTACTATTCAAAAAAGAATAGAAACATGAAAATACAAAAAATATTTCTAGGCATACTCATCAGAGTAGATTAATAGAAGGAAGCCACTGAAATTCTAATAAAACTCGCTCTATGTTTATAAGCATCAAAATACATATTATTATATAATTTCATTGGAAAAGAGAAGATATAAATGTTCATGATTTGATTGTATAATTAGTTGTCATCTTACTAAATTGAAGAAATACTTAATTGAAAAGTATCTAAAACTTTCTTCATAGCATTGATGCCTTAATGAAAGAAAGAGAAAGAAAGAAATTATGACAGTGACATTCAAATAGTGTGGCAATAGGTAAGTTATGAACAATCAAATCAGGGAAGTTATTAACATAGCAACAATTTCAAAAATAAGAAACTTTTCATAAAATCATGATTGTATTTTTTTTCATAAAGCGATTACCGTTAGATTTTTCTTATGATTTAACTTTGATGATGACCCCACTTTCAAGATAAACCAAAAAATTGATCATTTTGAAAATCAGATTTCTACTGCAAAAATGTACCAATTTTTTCAGCATTTAAAATAATTGTGATAAAACAACAAAATTGGTAGAAATAGCAATACAACTAAAAAAGCAAAAGAAATACTGAAAATTTTAAAATAAATTAAGATAAGTAAACCATTGTGCTTATCATAGCATAAAAAAACAAACTATTCACGCGAAATTGTTTCAAAAAGGCTACATTCACCAAATAATCAAATACTAAACCAAACCCCATTGAAAAGAAAGAAAAATAAAAATAATGAAGTAATAAGGACAATTGTAAACACATCACGGGAAAGACAAACTCATCTTCTAAGTAATTTTTCAAAGAGAGTTGAAATTGATAAATAAATCAACACAAAATAGCCACCAATCCCTCAAATCCATGTAGGATTAATGGTAAGAAAATTGTGAAAATTTCTTAAAGAGTAAAAAGCCATGAGACGGAATTTAAAAATACAAATAATAATATAAACAAAAGTAAGAAATCACTAAACTTTAGCCACAATTGATGTCCTACCTTTGTTTAGCTCTAATATAAATGAAATAAATGGAAGATGAGCTACTCCTGGCGTGAACAATAACAAAATAAATAGATGATGATAAAAGAAGGAAAAAGAAAACATTTCTAAAAAGCGTGCAAGTCTTTACATGTAAGCCAAAATCCCTACGATAAATTCCAAGTCAATAAAATTCCCCTTCCCCTCTTAACCTTTCCAGTCCCAACCCCCTCCTAGTTAAAAAGACCAACAAAAACAATTTCAAACAACCACACTTTCATTTCTCAATCTCAACAAAAATCTAAAACTTAATCAGAAAATCCTAGCCAATACTTACCAAGGCTTGAATCTAATCGGGAGGTCAATGTTGCACGTTAAGATTAAACATATCTGGTAGAAAGAAAGGCAATCATGACAAAGTTCGTGGAGTTGATCTTGAATTCAGCTATTCAAAAAGGTTCAACAATATTCTAGGTTAAAATTTGGACAACTTTGAATAAAAATAAAATTAAATTCAATAAAAAGTTTGCTCATACTGCTACTTGCATCATCATGACAAATGAACCTAACTCTAATAAGAAAATGAAAATTTTCAATTAGTCTAAATAAAAGTTTCTAGAAATATTTCATCATTTCATGAAATTTAATTCAATAAAAGTTTAAGTATATGCGTATCAAAACTACTTTTAAATTTATGAAAAAGTAGCACTACAATAGCATGCTAGCATCACAATGTTTCTTTCTAGAAATTTTTTAATAGTTTGTAAAATTATGCGCATTCATCAAGTTCACTGTATATATTATTTCCTATGCACCATATCACTTGTAAACAATGGAAAAAGAAGTTGGATGGTTCAATATAACAAAATAACATACAATATACAACTATTAAAGCAATAAAAAACTAAAAAAGATGAGCATGGTGAGAAATAAAAGAATGTGGCATTAGAAGAGTGCTTGGGACGTTAAGAGAGAGCAAGAGAATAAAGAATTAAATGACAGGAACAACTCAAGAGGGAGAGAAGCAAGACGAAACCTGAGAATGGGCAAAAATTCTTATATATATCTATATCTATATCTATATCTATATCT